AGAAAAGAGAAAAAACCCCCCCTTCTCTGTTGCACATTCAAAATCCCTCTCGCCTCTAACCCTAACTTCCTTCAGAGGACTCTAAATCAATCACAGAAAGGGAGAAAGGAGAGAGACACTTTGATTAACTCAAAAATCAGCAGTTCGGGTACAGTACCTGATTTCGGTTTTGAAAAATTTGATGTAGAGATCCCCAGTTGATACCGCAGTTCACAAACAGAAAATGCACAATGAAGCTTCTTGCAAAAGTTTTGTAGGAAAAGAAATGCAAGTAAACTTTTTTCTGCAGAAAAAATGCCTATTTATACCCCTGGGCAAAACTAGATCTCAACGGCTGAGATTCGTTTAATCTAACGGTCCCTGTTGACACCGTTTGGAATTCAACGGACAACACTAAACGATGCCGTTTTTAATTCGACGGTTCGTTTTTTAAATTTGCCCGTTTTAACTATTGCAGTTATCTTTTTACGGCCGCATTTATTGCGCACGTCACTCAAAGGACAACTGTCACACCTATGTCAATACTTTTACACGGGCCCACTTACGCCCATTTCAACACCTCTGTTCACTTTTGCATATTCTCAATTGTTGCAAAGTGTTTCACCTCGGCTTTAACCACAATAATGTTGCATTACATTTCACATCGGCTTCGGCCACAGTAATTCAATATCACACATTTAATTTCGGTTACGGCCATTATGACCTCAGTTATTATATTTTATTATGGCTCTGGCCATTTTGACTTCCGTCTTTATACTTGAGCCTAGCTCAGCACTTCTGTTCACTTATACAATTATACTTTTCAACTATTTTACTTCGGCTACGGCCACAGTGACCCAGTGTCACATGTTTCACTTCGGCTACGACCACAGTGACCCAGTGTCACATGTTTCACTTCGGCTACGGTCACAGTGACCCAGTGTCACATGTTTCCCTTCGGCTACGGCCACAGTGACCCAGTGTCACATGTTTTATTATGGCTCCGGCCCTTATGACTCCGGTCATCACGTTTTATTACGGCTCCGGCCACTATGACTCCGGTCATCATATTTTATTACGGCTCCGGTCATTATGACTCCGGTCATCATATTTTATTACAGCTCCGGTTATTATGACTCCGGTCATCTTTTTCCATCACGACCCCGGCCTTTATAACTCCAGTCATCATTTTTTATCATGACCTTGACTACGTTATGACTCCGGTCATTGTTTTTCCCATGATTACAGCCATGATCGCCCTGATTATACTTTATTTAAGGCACCGCAGTATGACCCATTGTTACATCTTTCATTATTAGCTATGGCTATGTTTAAATTTAAAGATACAGCTTTCACCCTTATACTTCCATAACTTATCTGTATTCTCTTTGTTCATACACTTCCCTCATTATCCCCAGCACCATCATTCACAAGTGAATGACTTCCGGGGGGGAATAGTGTAAGGACAGGGCCGAGGTGCCAAACCTCGGACTGCTACAGTAATTCCTTTATGACCGAAGTGAGGAATAAATCCGAAACTTCCCGCTCAAATAGCTGCATGATAATGACAATAAGCATGTCCACACCTGATTCCTTATGATGAGCGGCACAGCAGGAACAGTGGACACCCGTGCATCTGAATACCTCTCAAATTCCCGGTCCCGGAATAATCGTTTGGATAGACACGTCAGGCTCCGACTATCTTGCTTGGCATGCCACGTGGGTTCCTCATTGAATCCTATAAATACCCCCTCCGGGCCACGTCAAAAGGTAATTGAAACCTACCCTAAGCTCCTTTTATCTCCGCTCTAAAGGTAACCCCGATTATTGCTGACTTAAGCATCAGAGTGTCTACCCCGAGGTCCACCTCGGGGCTTTGCAGTTCATTCCGAAGTGCAGTTGCGGACTGAAGAAGGACTTCTGGTTCGTTGCAATTACAATATTTAAGAAATCAAAATTCAAATTAATACTAACAAATTAATAGATTAAAATAAATAGAAATTTATAGGACTTAAAGATGATGCTTTCAAAGAGAAGCGGGATTCATGGGAAAATAATTGGAATTTTGTGTGAATATATGCTGAAAATCGCAAGTCTCGACACCTTAGAATAATTTGTTGGTACGTTCCATTAATTTAGAAAAAGAGTGTCCGTGTCGGGATTTTGGACTAAGAAGCAATTTTGTTTTTTTATTGGGTAAAAGTTTGCTGGTTTCTCAACTTTTACTTTTCTACACTTTGATCTTACACGTTTTTTATTATTCATCTTGGTCCTTGAATTCAAGTTTTTCTTTTTCAATTTATTCTTCTCACTACTAAAATTCAAGCTTTTAGCAACATGAAAGCATGTTGCTAAAAGTGCCTCCCATGTTGCTGAAAGTCCTTCAGCAACATGGGTTTTGTTGGTAAAAGTTTTGTTGGAGAAACCTTGCTGGCTGATACATCATCAATAAGCAACTTGTTGCTAATACATCAGCAACATAATGCACGTTGCTGAAAATATAGTTTCAGCAACGTGCTCCATATTGGTGAAATTTTTCACCGGAATCCGGGAAGGCCCATCGGTAAGTGGTAAAGAGTTTTTAGCAACTTAAGGCACGTTGCTGAAAATATGCTTTCAGCAACGTGGCTTATGATGCTGAAAATCAATGGTAAACCGGTGGCCAGACGGTGGGATAAATTTAACCCCATTTTCAGCAACATGGCCTATGTTGCTGAAAGCATATTTTCAGCAACATGGCTTATGTTGCTAAAAGTTAAGGGATGGCATGTACCCCACTTTTCAGCAACATAATCCTTGTTGCTGATAGTGAGGTGAATAAAACATTAATTTTATAGTATTATTATTACATTAATTAAATTTGAAATTTTATAATTACCAAATATTAAATTTTTTGATATCTCACATATAGTATAAATATTTATTATTTCTATATTATTAAATTTAAATTAAATAACTTAAGTTAATTAAGTCTAATTAAGTATCTTACCAAATTTAAAATTTTTATTTT